GTGACGTGAGTGATGTATGTATTGTGACGTAACCGTTAGGCTACTGTTGACCTTCTGACATCTTGTCATCTGCTTCTGGACTGTGGCTGAATGTGGTTAACTGAAACCACAGAAAGCAGAATTGTGGGTGAGGGGACTACTGTATATACAGTAAATGATCTGCATCAAAATCACCTAAGTTTCTGATGGCCAACAGATATATGAAAAGATGCTCAACATCACTCATCATCAGGAACATACAAATCAAAACCACAATGAGATACCACCTCACATCTGTCAGAATGACTAAAATCAAACAACACAAGAAATAACAAACATTGGCAAGGATGTGGAGAAAAAGAAACCCTCATACACTGTTGGTAGGAATGCAAACTGGTGCAGCCATTGTGGAAAACAGTATGGAGGTTCCTCAAAAAGTTAGCAATAGAACTACCTTATGATCCAGTAATCACACTATTCAGTATTTACCAAAAAATACAAAAACACTAATTTGAAAGAATACATGTACTCCTATGTTTATTGCAGCATTATTTATAATAATCAGTTTATGGAAGCAGCTGATAGATGAATGGATAAAGAAGATGTGATACACACACACACACACACACACACACACACACACACACACTGGAATATTATTCAGCCACGAAAAAAAAAGAATGAAATTTTGCCATTTGGATCTAGAGGGTATAATGCTAAACAGAATAAGCCAGTCAAAGACAAATACCATATGATCTCACTTATATGTGGAATTTAAAAAAAAAAAAAAACAAATGAACAAAGGAGGGAAAAAAAGAAAGGACAGGCTCTTCACTATAGAGAATAACTGATGGTTACCAGAGGACAGGTGGGCAGGGGGATGGGGGAAATAGGTGAAGGGGATAAAGAGCACCATTATCTTGATGAGCACTTAGTAATGTATGGAATTGTTGAATCACCATATTGTTCACCTCAAATTAATATAACACTGTGTTAACTACAGTGGAATTTAAATACATATAAATTTTTAAAAAAGAATCACTAAGGGGCGCCTGGGTGGCTCAGTCCATTAAGCATCTGACTTCAGGTCAGGATCCAGAGGTCCCAGGATCAAGCCCCATGTTGGGCTCCTCGATCAGCAGAGAGTCTGCTTGTCCCTCTCCCTCTGCCCCTCCCCCTGCTTGTGTGCTCCCTCTCTCCCCCTCTCTCTCTCAAATAAATAAAACCTTTAAAAAAATCACCTAAGTTTCTTATTTGGAAGGCTCCTAAGCCACCCAAGTTCTGGTTCAGTAAGTCTAGGATGGAGTTTGGGAATCTATATCTTAATGAACACATCAGGTGATTCTTATACTTTCTGACAGTTGAGAACTGTCATAGGAAAAAAATTTAGGCTGAAAAAAAGTTTTATAAATGGTCACAGATAAGTCACAAATAAGTCATAGAAAAAGCTCAGTATTGTACTCACAAAAAATCTGACCCTGAGGTACCTGTGGATACCAATAAATTGATAGAAAATAGATGAATAGAATAAAGAAATAGACGAATAGAAAATAGAAAAGAGACAACTTGAAATTTGGAAAATGTCCATCAGACAGTGATCTTTGTTCTGATATAATTGATGTTGAATTGTGTGTTTAAAAATCATTCAGGGCAGCTCAGTCTGTTAGGCATCCTACCTTTGATTTTGGTTCTGGTCATGATCTCAGTGTGGTGGGATGGAGCCACAGGTTGCGCTCTGTGCCCAGCATGGAGTCTGCTTGAGATTCTCTCTCCCCTTCCCTCTCCTCTGCCCCTCCACCCCTGCTCAGACTCGCACGCACTCTCTCTTTCCCTAAAATAAATACATAAAATTTTTTAAAAAATAAATAAATAAAAATCATTCAGATATCCAGTCAAGTTTGATATACTATATTAATTATAGGAAATGTAGAATTCATACAAATAGAAAGATGGGAGAAAATGAACATAGTTCTGCCAGCAAAGGGCAATAAATGTTTAATATTCTGACATATTTCCTTTCAGTTTTTCTAAGCATGGTATTTTGTTTTGTTTTGACTTGACTGGAATCAAGCCTAAGAGAGTTTTTCTCTGGGACACTTCTTAAGTCTTACCACAATTTATTCTTATAGATTATGACTGTTCATATTGAAATTGTTGATAAGGGGCGCCTGGGTGGCTCAGTCATTAAGTGTCTGCCTTCGGCTCAGGTCATGATCCTGAGGTCCTGGGATCGAGCCCCGCGTTGGGCTCCCTGCTCCGCGGGAAGCCTGCTTCTCCCTCTCCCACTCCCCTGCTTGTGTTCCCTCTCTCACTGTGTCTCCCTCTCTCTCTGTCAAATAAATAAATAAAATCTTTAAAAAAAAAAAAAAGAAATTGTTGATAAACTTCCTCCAGATAGTTTTATAAGAGACACAACTCCTCCACACTGTTGAATGCCCACTAGTGGACACATCCACTAGGAAAGGCCTGTCCTTTCCAGTCCACTAGAACTGGGCATGAATTTCTGCAGCTATTTGGGATTAGGATTGTTGATAACTCCATTGGGATGTCTCCCAGATTCCACAGTCTCTCCATTCCTGAGATTTTAGTTTTGATTCTTAATTCTCTTAATCATCTGACCTATATCTTTGAATAATTTTTTAAGCATCCAGGGTGGTATATTGTGTGCATTCTTGTAAATCTGTTGCTTTCACACATGAAAAACAATTTAGATGCTACTAAATTACTGTCATATCCTTCTCAAAATTCTGCATGTTGAGATTGTACTATTGTCTTCACAAGGAAAAATCTGATATTGCTTCATTTGTGTTCTTTTTTCTTTTCTTCAGGGATGCTCAAAAGATAGTCTTAATACCATTATTGGTTTTTTTTGAACTTTACTAGTATGTGAGCGATTTTTCCTGGAATTCAGTGAGCTCTTTTTATCTTCCTACTAGTCTTTGTCTAGCTCAAAATGGTTTTCTTCAATTGCATCTTTATTTATTACTTGATTCCTTTTTCAGGATCACTTTTTATTATTTTTGGTTAGATAGTTTTTGTTTCTCAACCACATTAATCTCCTTTTCCCTGATAGTTCTTATCTCTTTGTTCTTTTTCTCTGTATTCTTTGGAGAACTGTTATCCTCCATATGAGATTTATTTTCTGCTTCTTATTGCCTCTCTTCTGATACATATTTGAATTCTGCTATTGCATTTTAGATTTCCTTCCATTGTTTTCTAATTGCAACTAGCTTTCTTGTATTTCTACCTTTGTCTTAAGTTGGTCTCTCTTTCTGCTTCATGATTTCTATTTCATAGGCTATGTTGTCCTCCTGTGCATGTATTTTCTAAAATTTACTCTGCTTTATATAAGAAATCTTTTTCAAAATCAATTCTTCATCTAAATCTTTGGATCGTTACTCTCTTTCCCTTCATTATAACATCTTTTCATAGGCCTTGTTGTTTTGTTGTTGTTGACAATGGAAGAGACTGTATCCAGCTCTAGCAGGTAGAGTAGGACAACAGGAAGGGTAGGTAGAGTACTTATAAGAACCACACCCACCCACCCCCCACACACACACATACATATCCATATATGCCTTTCACTTTAATGTTTTGCCTGGTACTCTCCAACATAGACCTGAAGGTCAAGTTCATGTGCATGACCTAGTTCAAGTGCTGATATTTAAGTATTCATCTTGTCTGTCTCTTCTATACTGTGGCTGAATCTTCGTCCTTTCTGACTTGCATTCCGTAATTAGTCAGAGAAACTAAGACAGTTTAGAATTCTCGATGTTCTTGTCTTTGCCATCATTTATATATTCTTGATGTTCTTGTCTTTGCCATCATTTATAATGTTTTTCTTTAGATAATTGAGCATCTTACAATTACACATGTCTCCACCAGACCAGCCCAAGGTTTGTCCTCTTCTACATCCTCTCTCTTGAGTACTAATTATAGAATTCTGTAGAAAGAGGACCCAACTATTACTTTAGCTTGGAAGACAGTTTCCAGTGTTACAGTGTTATATATATATGTGTAAATATAATCACATGTAATTATATTGTTAGTATATTAGAATATTATTCTAGATATGTAAGTATGATTAAATATAATTTTATTATATTATATTTAATTATATTATTTTATGTATGTAAATCTAATTAAATATAATTATATTATTAGAATATTGGAATATTCTATTTATTAGAATATTGGAATATTCTATTATTCTATTAATTAGAATTATTAATTCTAATTATTAGAATTAATTAGAATCTATTAATTAGAATCTATTCTAATGTTATTTAGAATATTCTGTTAGAATATTCTTATAGAATATTATTCTAATTATAATTGATATAATTATATATTCTATAGATAGAGATATGATATATATTATTTTTCATATAATATTATATAAATATAAATTTGGTCTACACAAAATTTGTGTCTCAGAACTAGGAAAGACTATGGGGTGAGAAGATAGATAATTAGTTCTTCCTTCCCTGAACCATCTATGCTGAATCCACATGTGAGGCATGTCTTACATCATCCAGGAAAACAGTGTTTGTTCTATACCTTCTATAATGATATTGTTGAGATTTTCCTGAGTTTTGCCACACCTACACCCACAGCTGGGACTTTGATATATCATTGTCTTTCCTTGCCGCTTTATGATCTTTTGGAGTTTTCCATGGGTATCTTAAGAAATTAAAAGAAATAATCAGGAACTGCTAGTCTGATGCCATGTGAACAGAAGTTTGAATGATATTTAACAATAGTTATCCATCAGACTTATATGTGCCATGTGTCAATTATTATTTTGGTCCATGTCTTTTTATATATTGTTAAATATTCTTCATTTTCTGCCCTATATTATTAAATATTTAATGCCATACTTTACCTAACAGGAACTGTATTTTCACTTAGATGTAGTATATACAAATAAACTGTGTTTTGAAATTTTCTTTGTGCCAAAAATTTCATAAAGGAATAATGTTTTAAAATTCAAACACTAACTATTAGATTTCTTTTTTAAGTATTTGAGCCTGCTGAGGATACTACAGTTGGAACAGAGATTTCAAAAGGATCCAAAGAGGGCCTAGAAACTAAAGAGTTATCTGAAACAGGTTAGATTATAAAAGTAGTTAGTGTGTGAAAATACTTTTCATATTCTTTTAGAAAGGGTCCAGTCCCTTATTTTAGGCATAGTACCAACTTCCTACCTATTTCTTTCTATGTTGTATGCCAGCTCATATGTATTAATTTAGCTTATTACATTAAAAATGTATGTAGCCAGCGTATAGTACTGTTTTTCATCAAGTTTTATTTTATATGTTTTATTAACAGTTAAAGTTGCCATACAAAATTCTTATTAATTATCCATGATTTTGATTTTATTAGTAGATAATAATTTGTCTAAGCCAATACAAGGAACAAAGCACAAATTAAAATATGAATTTATGAATTTATATTATTACCTAGAAAACAAGTGTATTTCTTTCAAATGTTTTTAAAATACTATAAAGTATAAATTATTTTGGCAAAATGGCTAAAGATATAATATTTTAAGACTCTTTTTTCTTTCCTCTAACCTTTACCTCAAAAGTTGTACTCCCTGAGTTTCCAGAAGATGCTTATCCTGATGTTCCTGAAATGGAGCCAATTAAAGAGAAGATTAAACATTTCAACTACATGTGGAAACATCTGGAAGCAACAATCAATGAGTCTTTCGTTCAAATTTTAAACTTGGAGATTGCTGACAAAACTCCAGAGGAACTACTTCAAAAAGTAGTTGAGACTATGGAAAGTAAGAGCTGTAATCTTAACATTTATTGTCAAGAACAGGTAATATTATTAAAAGCACTGTGAAAGTTTAAAGCCCTTCTTGATGGTTTATGAAGTAAACCATCCAGTATATTCAGAGTTGATATTTCAAATATTTAAATCTGCTAATCAGGGGACACCTGGGTGGCTCAGTCATTAAGTGTCTGCCTTTGGCTCAGTCATGATACCTGGATCCTGGGATCGAGCCCTGCATCGGGCTCCCTGCTCAGTGGAGAGCCTGCTTCTCCTTCTCCCACTCCCCCTGCTTGTGTTCCCTCTCTCGCTGTCTCTCTCTCTGTAAAAAATAAATAAAATCTTAAAAAAAAATCTGCTAATCAGAACAGCACAGGGCACAAAGAGCACTGGCCAACCCAGCCAGTTGTCACTTAAAGAATTTGTGAAGACCTGTTTGCATACACATTTAAACTAAGAGATCGGTCATTATAATCACTCTTCCTAATCTTTGACTACTGTAATATGCTAATATCCTTTTATCCTAAAAATATCTTCCCAAAAGTCACTTCTTTTTTTTCTTACAGAACCCTTCCAGTATGTTGCATGGGAGTTAACTATGGAAGATTATGATGAAGAAACAGAAGACTATCAGGCAGAAGCTGAAGTTGATGAGGAGCTAGAAGAGGAAGAGGAGGAAGAGGAAGAGGTATGACTTCCTTATTATTGCTCATTCACATTGGTCACATCATTGAAAGTGCATATATCCAGATGCACAAAGATGGTAACTAGCACTTTTGGACCCCAAGAAAACAAGCAGGAATCCTCAATTTTATAAATAAATGATTTTATAAATTTTTCAACACACTTGGCCTCCACCCAGCTTCACTTGACCCCTGAAATGCCAGGGCTCCTTAGGCAATATATTACACCCATGAAAAAAGAAAAGGGAAATCTTTTAAATTTTTTTCCACAGGAACATCTATAGGTATTAGAGACAGAAATATTTAAGGGACGTAAGATACAGATAGCAATGGCCTCTTTGGGAGGCTGCTTGCATGATAATAAGGAGCAGTATTAGCAAAAGGAACAGGTCATTTTCAGGCACTACTCTACTCCCTTAGCACCAGAATTTTGATAACCATTCTCATTTGATAGCCACCCACTTCAGGTATCTATCAGTAATAAAATAGGAAGTGATTCTTTTAATTTGGGGCCTTATCAATTCTTTCAAGTTTCCTGGACCTAATTCCAACATGGGAGGAGGTTCTCCCAAACACAACACCAAACAGTTCCAGAAGATGACACCAGCAGGGAGTCTGAGAATTCAACTCAATTCTGACGCCATCTACCTGGAGATAGCATCAGATTCCACAGGTTAAGGGTTCAGTACTAAAGGACTGCTCCCCCACTCCCTACCTCAGCCCCAGGTTGTTTCCTGTGCTTCTGACTGATTGGCTACAGATTAGGGATTCCAATAACCACCTCCATTGGTTCAATTAATTTGCTAAAACAGCACACAGAATTCAGGAAAACATTTACCTACATTTACCAGTTTATTAAAGGGTATGATAAAGCATGCTAATCAACAGCCAGATAAAGCCATACATAGGACAAGGTCCTGAACAAAGAAACTTCTGTCTTTGTGGAGCTTTAGGCCCTACTTGGTGGCACATGGAAGCTCTTCTAAAAGAAAAGACCAAAAAGCTGTCCTCTTAGGTCTTTATGGAGGCTTCATTACACAGTCATGATTGACTAAGTCATTGGCCATTGGCTGATTCAACTTCCAGCCCCTTTCCCCGACCGCACCTCAGAAGGTCGAGGGTGGAACTAAAATTTCCAGCCTTCTAATCAGCATGCAATAACTTGGATGAATCTCAAGATAATTATGCTAAGAGAAAGAAGCCAGGCAAAAAAGAATATATCCTGTACGATTCCATTTATATAAAAATTTAGAAAATGTAAACTAGTTATAGGGCTAGAAAACAGAATGGTGTTTGCCTGGGGATGGGGCAAGTAAGAGCAAATAGGAGCAGGAAGGAGAGATTTTACAAAGAAGTGTGAGCAAAATGTTGGTATTCATGAATATGTTCATTATCTTGGTTGTGGTGAATTCACGAATGAATACTTGTGTCAAAACTTATCAAATTTTATACTGTAAATATGTACACTGTTTTAATGTCAGTCATACCTCAGTCAAGCTGTTTAAAGTGTTAGTGGTGGCTATCTCTGAGTGATGGACTTAAAAGTAATTTTTATTTTTTAAGTGCTTATCTATATTATCTGATTTTTTAACATTAGAAATGTATCATTTTTACAATAGGAAAAATCAACAACAAAGATATTTCCTTTTTGCCAAACAGAAAGTACAAAAAGAAACAACAGTTCTAATGCCACTCCAGAATTCAGGAATCATACCAAGATATGCCCAAGTGTTTGTCTTTCTCATCAATCTTGCCTATACTTGGGGTGCCCTTAAATCTGTATGTTATGTCTTTCTGTATCTGTGGGAAAATAATTCTGGTCTCCTCTCCATCTCTTCTTTTTTCCTTCTACAATACTCAATACTAATTAGGTCTCTTGGATCTATCCTCCAAATATCTTTATCTTTTCCCTCAAATTCTCCATCTCTTTACTCTTTTGTTCATGTATTTGTAGATGTGTCTTCCATTCGGTCTTTTCACTTAAGACATTCATTGGGGTCCTATTGCTGTTGTAACAAATTACCACAAAGTTAGTGGCTTAAAACAATCAAATTATCATATAGTTCTCAAGATCAGTTCTCTGAAATGAATCTTAAGGGCTAAAATCAGTTCCTTCTGCTAGAGGAGAAGACTTTTCCTGTTTTTTCCAGCTTCTGGTGGCCACCTGCATTCTTTGGTTTATGGCCTTTTCTTCCATCTTAAAAGCACATTACTTCAACTTTTGCTCTCCATCATCTCATCTCTTCTTTTGCCTTTGACTTTCTTGCCTCCCTCTTAAGGACCATTTAATTACATTGGGCCCAGCTGGATGAGCTTCCCATCTCAACATCCTTAATCACACACATAAGGTTACCCACTCACAGGTTCTGGGGAATCTTTGGGGGGCCATTATTCTACCACAAGTGGTCACCCTCTTCTAAGGCCCATTTACATATTTTGTTGGTGCCTGTGAACTCTTTCTAGTGTTTACTTGAATTTCTATTAATGTCTTCATTATTTTCCTACTCTGAGATTGGGTTCTGTCCATCTCTTCTGCAAAGTTTTACGATCTATTTGATCTGACTGATCTTTCAGTTGGCTAGGGTCCCTTGCATGGGTGGTGGTTTTCTTTTTTTTTTTTCCTCAGTGGGGTTCAGGACAATTGTTGGAGTGCTTTAGGTGACAGCATTCTCAAAAATTATAAAAGGCAAAGTGGTGTCTCTCCCCATAGATCAGGAGTATAGAGGTAGATAAGGCTGAAGGCCTAAGACAAGCCTGGTTAGGATTTCTCATACTTGCCTAGATGCAGGGTTGGGGAGGACTCTTCCCACCCATACACCTCCTTGTTGGTCTTTTGTGGGCCAGAGAGACCACAAGCACTTCCCTGGTAGTTGCTGATGCTGACATTCCCCAGGAAATCCAGAGATCCCTGCAAAAAAATTCCTCCTAGGACATGACATCTTAATACTCTGGTCCCTCTGATGTTTGTCTCCAGGCACTCATCTAGCCCATAGTGGTAAATAATGCCATACAGTTTCCTCCTTGCGGATGTTGTGGATTCCTGCTGCCTACCCCAGCAGTTGTTTAAGACTGAGAAGGTGGGAAAGAGGGGAAGGGTGGGGGGGGTGGGGGAAATAACTGAAGGAGATTGAGAGTGCACTTACCTTGATGAGCACTGAGAAATCTCAGATTTGAGAATTCAACACAATTTTAAATGTCACATGACCTTATTTCAGCTTTATCAAAATCCTTAATTTTGATAGATTATACATTTCAGCTTCAAAACAAAAAATATATATATTATTTTCTAACCCTTCAAGAAAAATCACATTTAAATGCTTTATAGTATGGCAGAAGTGAAATTATAGTTGCCAGATTAAAAAAAAAACATGATACCCAGTTATATTTGAATTTCAGATAAAAGAATAATTTCTATGTGTGGTACAAAAATTATTTGTTATCTGAAATTCAAATATAACTGGAAGCCACATTCTTACTTTTTAAGTCTGGCAACCCTACCTGAAGTGAGCTTATTAGCAGGAAAAATTAATTAAGCATTCAACTCCAGAATCTGGGAAAAAAGCACAAAAAACCCCAAAAGAATGTAGAAAGGAGAATAAAGGCAAAAATTAACAAAATAGGAAAAGAATACAAAATAAAAACAGTAAACCTAATTTCAAAAAATGAAAAATTGGTCTACTGGCAAGTGTAATAAAATAGGCAAACTTCTAACAAGTCTAATTAGGTAAAAAGAAGAAGCAAATAACATTTGAAACAAAAATGGGTATATAATCAAATTTTAAAAACAGGGTTGTTTTAAATTATAGGAACTTTATACTAATAAATTTTAAAGTCAAGATAAAAAGGATTTTCAAAATATGAATTACTAAAATTTGTTTAGGAAGAACTATAAAAGCTGAACAAACAAAAAAGATAGAGGGGAATTACAAATCATTTCTAATATACCTGTGTTGATTAGATAATTCCTGTGTTGCTTAAAATCTTCCACATAGGGGCACCTGAGTGGCTCAGTTGGTTAAGTGTCAGATTCTTGATTTCAGTTCAGGTCATGATCTCAGGGTCATGAGATCAAGTCCTGCATCACATGATGCTCAAAGCAGAGTCTGCTTGGGATTCTCTTTCTCCCTCTCCTGCCGCCCCTCCCCCCACTTACACTCTCTAAATAAATAAATAAATAAAATCTTTAAAAAAAAGTCTTCCACATCATAAAAAAATAGCAATACTTCCCTGCTCATTTTTGGAATTTTCATAACTCTCATATAAAAATTGAACAAGAGTGGTGCAAGAAAAGTATAGATTTGTCTCATGTTTGCACCTTTACAGAAAGTTGTTCATTATATCTTGTTTGGGGGGAATAAAAGAGGCTTGTTGTAGAATAGTCTTGTAAAGTATTATCCCATTGGTATTTTTTTAAAATACTGTGTCTGTCCCTAAATATGTGTCTATTTTTATATGTATATTGGTAGGATATACTTTGGAAAAGGGTCTGGAAGTGTACACATAAAATTGTTGAGTGTTTTAAAGACATACTGTTATGGAGTAGACATTATTCAAGATGTGAACTCAGAGGGATTTGAGAAACTGATGTTTTAATAATTAAATTAGTACAAGAACTGGCCTTTTGTGGATTGTTTTAAAGATCTCTTGTTATGGCTTCAATATTACTCAAGATGCATTATTTTAATTTATTTTTACTTAATTTTTAGTCTTACATCAAAATATTTTTAATACTGTTCTCCAAACTGAATATTTGTAGAATGAAGATAGAATTAAGGAGAAGAGAAGGCACTTGGGAGATACAAAGCACTTTTGTCCAGTGTTTCTCAAAGAAAACTTCATCCTACAACCAGGCAGCATAGATGAAGCAGCTAAATATCGAGAAAAAATCTACTACTTTTCAAGTCCTGAAGCTAAAGAGAAGTTTCTGGAGCATCCTGAGGAGTACGTGGCTCATAAAGAACCATTAAAGGTGAAAACAGTATTCCTAGCCAATCCTGATGATTGCTCCTGAGTGCTTTTTCAAGGACTTACTGCCAACATTCATCGTTTTACTTAATAGTGAAGTCCCCAATCTGATATAACAATATGGTGAAAATATCTAAGTTCCAAGAGCAACTTTTTGGGATATAAAGTAAAATAATTATCTTTTTTGATTTCTGCAGTAATGACTTGTTTCAAACCAACACATACTATCTGTCTTTTTAGCTGAAGTAAAAAGACACAGCTACATTTATTGCTTGCTACATTAAGAGCCAGATGTGTAAGTGGGCAATTTCACAGGAACAGAAAATAGAATAATGGTTGCAAGGAGCTTGGGGGTAGGCAGGGAAGAGAATGGAGTTATTGTTTAATGGGTACAAGATTTCAGTCTGGGATGATGAAAAAGTTCTGGAAATGGATAGTGGTGATGGTTGCACAACATTGTGAATGTACTTATTGCCATTGATTTATACGCTTAAAAATGGTTAAAATGCATATACTCAAAACTACTGAATTGTATACATTAAAAGGGTGGATTTTATGGTATTTAAATATACCATCTCAATAAATAAATATTTGAATTTAAACTGAAAAAATGGTTAAAATGGTAAATTTTATGTGATGTATATTTTACTACCATAATAAAAGAACACATGGTGGCAATATTTTATCCATTTTAAAAATAAAGCACACACATACATGCACCAGCTTTAGACAAGAACCTTCATTTTTTTCATTTTACTTTCACCCTCTTCCACATGGATATATATTCTTTCCAGTGTATGTAATATTTTATAATCTACTTTTTCACTTAACATTATATTAATGAAAGCTTATATATTTCTACATAGACCTCATGATGCTTCATCATTTTGATGTACCATTTTAACATCTAATTGTTAGACATTTTTCACAGTATTTTCATAGTGTGATCTGTCATTGTGGATATGAAATAGTACTTAGGAAATCTTTGGGCATGTCATGCTTTGTTTCTCTTGAATTATTTTATTAGTATAATTCCCTAGCATGGGATTACAAGATCAAAATATACAAATCACAATACATTGTCACTTATACTTTCAAGAACACCAATGCCTTTTTTTTTTTTTTTTTTTGCCTGATGATGTAGGCTCCACACCCAACCTGGGGCTTGAACTCACAACCCTGAGGTCAAGGGTTGCATGTTCTACTGACTGAAACAGCCAGTGCCCCTAATTCCAATGCTTTCTTAAACAGAACATATAGAACACAATTTAGATGCTTCTGAATAATTTGGGCTATTTTCATGAACTTCAATTTTTATATGGTGCCCAGGAGGACTACTAAAATACATGTATGGTTGTGCCTTCTGACACTGTTGGTGTTGTGAAGTGATAATTCAGTTTTAGGGAGAGCAATTAATAAGACTTATGTTTTCTAAAGATTTTATTTATTTATTTAATTGACAGAGACAGCGAGAAAGGGAACACAAGCAGGGGGAGTGGGAGAGGGAGAAGCAGGCTTCCCGCTGAGCAGGGAGCCCGATGCGGGGCTCGATCCCAGGACCCTGGGATCATGACCTGAGCTGAAGGCAGTTGCTTAACCGACTGAGCCACCCAGGCGCCCCATGCCTTATGTTTTCTAAATTACTCAAAACTTCCTTGTCTTCACTCTCCTCCTACCCTACCTCTCCCCAACCCACCCCCGTGGCAGGCTCCTCCAGTAAGAATATGCCTTATTGGCCCCCATGGTTCTGGCAAAACCACCTGTGGAAGACAATTAGCAGAAAAATGGGGCATTTTTCATATTCAGTTTGAAGAATTTCTTCAAGAGAAACTAATGCTCAAAACCGAAAAGAAAATTGGAACTGAATTTGAAGAAGACTCTGATGAAGAACAGTTTACAAAACAAGAACTTGAAGAACTTGCAATTCAGGCCAAAGTCAAGATTGAAGAAGAAAATACAAGGAAGCCGGTAGTAATATTAATACTCTCTTTGCAGATAATTATGCTTACTGGTATTAATTTTGGGAAATAGAATATAAGCAGTATAAAACTAAAGTTTCTAAGAAGAAGAAAAAAAAATTAGCCCCCCATATGTCATCCTCCCCATTTGTTAAATACATATCTTACTGCTCATCTAGAATACAAAATGCTAAGTTTTGCATGACTCCAATAAAAATCTAAAAAGCTTTCCCTGACAAGACTGTTGCTTAACATTTATTAGGGACTCTGTTATTTGATATGTCTGACCTACACTATAAGGTTTTCCTTTATTGTGTTCTCTGTTTTCTATCAAATATAAAAATCTGCCCCAGCACCAGCAGAGATCTCAAAATATTAAATTCTGATGATGCATTGTAAGACATTTTATATATTTCTTAGATGGTTTCTTTCTGGGATTGTAAAGAGGAAGTTCTTAATTCTACATTTTTAACCATTTCTGATATAGTTAGACCCTTTTCTTCTCAAATGCTCCCTTGTAAATGAACCCAGGTATAGATTATATTCCAGAAGACTGCCTGGCTGGCCCATCCTTTAATTAGGATCTAGGTTGAAGAATTATAAGATAAATGACAAAAATTAGTTAAGCCTTATGGGTGTGTGATGTAGATTGAATAATTTCTTAGCAAAAAGTGATAACAGATATCCTGAGACCATGTTTGAAAATCAGCCATGCTAATCACTAGTAACTCCTCTTAGCTCTAATATATAATTTAATATTTTAAGCCATACTAAATATTGATTTAAAGAAAAAAGTTCAAATTTTAAAGTGTTAACAAGCAGCAGTATTAAAAATGACCTAAGAAGAAAAGGTCTTATCCTAATCAACTATGTAATAGAGTATTATTTATTAATACAGAGTTAAATTTTTTTTTTGTTTTCAGCCTCCAGATGTGCAATTTACAGAAGAAGAAGAAGCAATCAGATTAACTCTAATGGAAAATCAGCCATTGCCTCCCGAAATTCTTGAAACAATTCTTTCTGAGTGGTGGCTTAAGGAACCAATACGGTATCTTATTTTATATAGAATTATACAATTATTAACTTTTGTTTGCTTTATTCTTAAAAGTTAAAAATGTAATCCAGCATAAATTTAAGATTTTTCTTTTACTTATAAACTAGTGATTCTACACATTAAAAACAGCTGAGGAATCAATTTAAAAATACTGATGCCAGGACACCTGGGTGGCTCAGACGGTTAAGTATCCAACTCTTGGTTTCGGCTCAGGTCATGATCCCAGGGTCCTGGGATCAAGTCCCACATCGGGCTCCCTGCTCAGCAGGGAGTCTGCTTCTTCCTCTTCTTCCCACTGTGCTCTCTCTCACTATCTCTGTCTCTCTCAAATAAATAAATAAAATATTTTAAAAAAATACTGATGCCAGGGGCCCCCTCCCCAAAACAACTGAATCAAAATTTTTAGAAGTGTGAGGTTGAGACCCAGGCATTTGTATTTTTGAGAGCTCCCCAGGTGATTCTACTGTGTAGTTGTGATTGAGTATCCATATTCTAAATCCATGTACACTAATGATGGGCTGGACTCTTTTTCTTGGAGCCTTTCAATAATTACAGTTAAGACCACTTAATAACTGTCCACAGTGTTATCTTTCTTAAAAGCCAAGAACAAGCCTGACCTCAGACAGGACTGAGAAATTTCAGAATCTCCATCCCATCAGAGTTTAAAACTTCGCCACAATTTCCTAATCAGAATTGTATTTTTGAGAGCTCCCCAGGTGATTCTACTGTGTAGTCGTGGTTGAGTATCCATATTCTAAATCTATGTACACTAATGATGGGATTAACTTACTTAATCCTTACAAGTACCCAATGGAATAGAAACTTTTATTATCTCACTTTGGAGATAAAGAAACTATATTATAGAGAATTCAAATAACTGGCCAGTCCCAGTGCTCCTCTGGGCACTCTTTTTCACCTAGTCCATGGCCTAAATGAGTGAGTGAGGTTATTGGTCATCAACTTTAACTTTAATTTCCTGTTGCCTAAATTGGCTCAATAGTTGTGGTAAACTTAAGCAGGTTGACTGCAAAAATGTAGTCATGGGAGCCGTCTGGGTGGCTCCGTCAGTTAAGCACAACTCTTGATTTTGGCTCAGGTCATGATCTTAGTATCATGGGATCGAGCCCTGCATCGGGCTCTGTGCTTAGGATGGGGTCTGCTTGTCCTCTCCCTCTGCCCCTTCCCCTGCTCATGCTCTCTCTCTCTCTCTCTCTCAAATAAATAAATCTTAAAAAAAAAAACAAACAGCAACAAAAAACCAATGTAGTCATGGGTTGTTCTTCATTAATTTAGCTCCTGACCTCACACCATACATTAAATTAAAAAAAAAAAGCATATGAATTGAAGAATTAAAAGTAAAAAAGTGAGGGGCGCCTGGATGGCTCAGTCAGTTGGGCGTCTGCCTTCAGTTCGGGTCATGGTCTCAGGGTCCTGGAATTGAGCCCAGCGTTGGGCTCCCTGCTCAGTGGGGAGTCTGTTTCTCCCTCTTCCCCTGCTTGTGCTCTCTCTCTCTAAAGAAAAAAAAAAAAGAGTAAAAAGTGAAATTGTAAAAAGCCTAAATAAAATAGCTAAGTATTATGCAACCATTAAAATGAAGAATTTGTAATAGCGTGAGCAATGTTATTATATAACATTAAGTTTAAAAAGATACAAAGTTATTTATAATATAATAGCAAGATGACACATAAGGAACAAGCTGGAAAGAAACAAAACAAAATGTCAGTAATCTCTAGGATATGAGATTATAGATAATCTTGCCCTTTTTCATGTTTTTCTCTATTTTCCAATTATTCTAAAGTAAGATTTGATGCTTTTATAATCAGGGAAAAAAATCAACACATTTTTAAAGGGCTATTGCATGAGTCCTGGAGAGATATAATACAATATCTATGTCTATATAGATATAGATATATAAGATATAATAAGGTGAACTAAGGTGTAATGGTAGAAATGGAAATGTGGGTACAGAAGAGGACATGCCAGGGTTTAGCTCTTATATGTAAGAAGCAAGAGGGGGTTGGGGGGACAGTCCAAGTGTCTCTGAAGTTTGGCACCTGAATACCAGTGAGTCAGAAGCAAGAGCAGTGTGGAAGGGTAACAATGAGTCTGATTTTTGACAGTATGATGCATATATAATTCCTGAAGGGCACGTCAATGAAGAAACTAAGCAGCTTTATGAAAATTCTGAATTGAAATCCAAAAGAGAAGTTGGGTATAGAGGTAGAGATTTAGAAGTCATTGACAAAAAAGGGACAGCTGGAAGAGTAGGGATGAAATCGTTCCTCACAGAAAAGACTATGCTGAAGGCATCTCTGAAGAAAAAGGCATACATTTTACAGCCAAAATATAAAAATTTGCCCACTTAATATGATTGGAAATATTTTAAAATGTCAGATAAGACCTCAAACTGTCAAATCTTCATAAAAGTCCTATGAGGAAGAAAACATATGTTTAAATATAAATACCTAAAACAAGCCAAATTTTAGATAAACAGGATAAATTCTCATTCAAAAGGGAACCAATATTGAGTCTTTCAAATAAATAAAACCAAGTTCATAAAGCCTGTTAATAATAAAAATGTAGTCACATTCCAGTTATTTTTCTGATCCTTATAGTCTCATCATACCTGGGCAAGTTTTATAATTCTATTTGAACATAATCATCTTACACATATGAGCCAGTATGCATACATTAGTAATTGTCATTGATCATAAGGGAATCCAGGGAAGAGGGTACAACCTGTTTCCTGAAAGGAAGTATCACTAGAAGAAAAACTATGCAAAGGTAGATTCCCACAAGCGGTGGGCTGGCCAAACCCACCTTTACATAATGGTGACACAGTCATAAGGCTGGGCATTCCTCCCAAGCAGAGAACTTATTTTCTCTTAATTTTTCATCAAATACTAAGACTAAATTTAAGAGAATTTATCTATAATATAAATGTAAGTATAAAATATTATCATTTTAATCTAATTCAATACATTTGGGAGAAGACACACCATGTTTACACAAGTAGAAATATTACAAGAAATAAGACATACCACAGTAAACTTTTAAAACTATTCATTGCACATCTTATATAAAGTTGTGATTTATTAATATTTTTTCATTTTAAATCAATATTTATAATATTTTAAGCAAATAAATTATGAAATTTCTACCAAGTTCCACAGGTTTTATATTAGATGGTTTCCCACGATATCCTGAGGAGGCTCTGTTTCTGAGGGAATGCGGATTTTTCCCAGATGCTGCTGTTTTTATACAAGTTGATGATCAAGATATTTCTGATCGACTCCTTCCTTCCCAAATTGAAAAGTGGAAACAGAAACAAAAGAAAAAATTAGAAAGGAAAAAACTCATCAAAGAATTGAAGGCAAAAATCAAGGTATGTATCCAGTAAAAAAATATGGGAATAAATTTGTTCAGCATCTATTCAAATTATAATGGTCTTTACAAAAATGTAGTTTTCTGATTTTAATAATAAGTCAATATGAAAACACTTTTAATCAAATATTAATATTATTTATAATTAAATATTTAAAAATTATTTGAGGCCTATGTGATTTGCAATACATTAATGCTTTTCTCTCCAAGGCAAATAAAATTAAAGATAGTGGCAGCACTAACGTATCCCTATACCAGACATAGGAGCAAAGTGGGAGAGGCAACATAAAGAATTAAACTTTTCAGTGGCTTTTTCACTAGTTCCTGGAATGATGACACCATCAAGATCCAGGTATTAGTTTAGGACATCTTTTCTAAAACTGAAATCTGAGGAGTATTACATAAAATGTTCAAAAGTGTCATAGGGAATCCAGGAATTCCACTTCTAGGAACCTATCTAACAGAAATGAAAACAGATCCACATAAAGATTTATATATGAATGTTCATAACAGCATTATTCATAACAGCCAAAAAGTGAAAACCACACAATATCCATCAACTGATGAATGGATAAATGAAATGTGGTAGATAGGGTACCCGGGGATCCCACCCAAGATGGTGATATAAGAGCCTCCTGAATTCATCTCCTCCCACACACACAGCTACACATGAAGCAATTCCCTCTGAAAGAAATCCAGAAACTAGCTGAGCAACCCGTACACATTGGACAAACGAGAAAATACCTGTATCACCCACATCAAAACAGTTGCTGCCTGAGAGTCCAGCTTCCAATCTGTCTATGCAGTGGGTGATCCTCCCCTTTGGGACACTGACAGGTTGTGGCACATGCTCAATGACTGGGAGCCAATGAGAACAAAGAAAATAGCTTGGACAATCACAAAGGTTTGAGAGACAGCCAAAAACTCAGTCCAGGCTGATTGATAAGGTTCATCTCCTACACAAGACTACTCTGAAGACTAGGAGTTGTGGCTTCTTTACCTAATGTGCAGAAACCAACACAAAGTCACAGAAAATGAAGACAGAGATGAGGAATATGTTTCAAACAAAAACTCCAGAAATAGACCTTGCTGAAACAAAGATAAGTGATTTATCTGATAAAGAGTTCAAAATAATGTTCATAAGATGCCCACAGTGTCAGGAGAACAATGCATAAACAAAGTAAGAATTTCAAGAAAGAGATAGAAAATATAAGAAATTACCAAAGAGAAATCACAGAGCTGAAGAATACAATAACTGAACTGAAAAAATTCAATAGAGAGGTTCAATAGCAGACTAGACACATAGATGAATGGAACAGAACAGAGAGCACAGAAATAACCTCATGCCTATATTGTCAATTAATTTACAAGAAAGAAGCCAAAGATACATGATGGAGGACAGATAGTCTCTTCAGTAAATGCTGGGAAAATTGGACTGCTACATGCAAAAGAATGAAACTGGGCCCCCTATCCTATACTATCCATAAAAATCAACTCAAAATGGATTAAAGACTTGAACATAAGACCTGAAACCATAAAACTTCTAAAAGAAAACTTAGGGGGTAAGCTCCTTGACATTGGTCTTGGCAATTATTTTTTTAGATTTGACACCAAAAGCAAAAGTCACCAAATGGGGACTACATCAGACTAAAAGGTTTTGCACAACAAAGGAAGCCATCAAGGAAATGAAAAGTTATTCTACTGGGTGAGAGAAAATATTTGCAAATCATATCTGATTTGCATCTGATTAGGGGTTAAAATCCACAAAATATGAAGAACTTATACAACTCAATAGCAAAAAAAAAATCTGATTAAAAAATAGATTAAAAATCTGAAAAAAAATTCAGAGGTTCTGAATAGATATTTTTCCAAAGAAAACATACAAATCATAAGTAGGTACATGAAAAAGTGCTCAGTATCGCTAATCATCAGGGAAATGCAAATCAAAACCACAATGAGATATCGCTTTACACTTGTTAGAATGTCTGTCATCAAAAGACAAGAGATAACAAATGTTGGCTGGACTGTGGAGAAAAGGAAACCCTTTGCACTTTTGGTGGGAATGTAAACTGGTGCAACCACTGAGGAAAATAGTATGGAAGTTTCTCAAAAATTTTAAAATACAACTACCATATGATCCAGCAATCCTACTTCTGGGTATATATCCAAAGGAAATGAAAACAGGATATGGAAGAGACATCTGCACTCTCGTGTTCATTGCAGCAGCATTTACAATAGCCAAAATATGGAAGCAACATGTCAATGGATGAATGGATAAAAAAGATGTTGTGTTTATATGTACAGTGGGACATTATTCAGCCATTAGAAAGAAGGAAATCCTGCCTTTTGCAACATGGATGGACCTTGAGGATATTAAGCTCAGTGAAATTAACCAGACAGGGAAAGAGAAATAGTACATGGTATCATTTGTATGTGGAATCTAAAGAAAATTCAAACTCATAGAAACAGAGAGTAGAAAAGTGGTTGCCAGGGACTGAGGGGTGGGGAAAATAGGGAGAAGGTGGTAAAAGGGACAAACTTTCAGCTAAAATGAATAAGATCTGAGGATCTAATGTATAACATGGTGACTATATTTGATAACATCATACTGTATAATCAAAATTTGTTAAGAGAATAGAACTTAAATGTTGTCACCAAAAAAAAAAAGATAAATATTGAGGTGTTGGGTGTGTTCATTAATTAAATGGAAGGAGTCCTTTCACAATGTATATCTATATCAAATCGCCACAAGATACACTTTAAATAACTTACAATTTTATAAAGCTGGTTGAATGAATGAATGTGTGCTATATCCATAAAATGGATACCATTCAGTATTTAAAAAGAACAAACTATTGATAACACTCTACGACATGGATGAAAATCATTATGCTTAATGGAAGAAGCCAGGTTAAAAAAAAATGGTACATACTATATGTTTCATTCCATTTATAAGACATGTCCTGAAAGGGCAAATCTATAGATCTAGACTAAGGCACAAAGATTGAGACTTTCAAATCTGGATCTAGAAAGACAAAGATGGGACATGAGAGCAGTGTTAAATAATGTGAAGCGCTTTCATGCTGAAGAGAGCTTGTAGGTGTTCCAAATGGCCACAGGGAAGGAACTATTATTGGTAGGAGGAAGGTACAGGGAGATGTATTTTGTTATTAGTAAGAGTTTCCAAAAACAAAACAAAACAAAACAAAAAACAAAACCAAGATTGGAAGCACTGAGCTATTTGTCAATAAATAAGCTAATCAATTAACTCCAACTCTGAGAGATACTATGACTTAAATTATTTAATATGTTATCAGGCTGTATTTTATTAGTATGATAAAAGATTATCAAACATTTTCAACAAATTGCTTCCAAGTATTTCCCTATTTCTCCATGTATATAATCTACCTCTTTACCAAAGCAACCAAATAAATAATAAATTTGAAAAGGTGTTCTAACGTTTGTAGAAAGAATGGCTGCCCCCACGTGCTGTTTATCCCTCTGGAGGGAAATAGCTAATGAGAAGTTCCAGAGGTACAGGATGAAGTAGCATAATTACCACCATCATGAGCTTTTCTGGAAAGTTTACCATCCTTTCCTCCAAATCCCACTTTGGGAAAAAATATATATACTGATACATAAAAAGTAATTTTATTATTATCCATTAAAATGTTTAAATGTCTCTTTCTATAACAGGATGATATGATTTCTAAAAGAAAGGCTGAACTTCTAGCAGAGAAAGAAAAAAGACATAAAGGGGAGGTAAGTAAATAAAATGGTTGCTTTTTTTAAAAAGGCAGAATATCTATAATATAATATTTATATATTCTATATATTTTTACGTATCAACAGTATAAAATAAAAAGATGCCTAGAATGCCTTGAAGGAAGTACACAGAGTTTATGTTTGAGTAGTAAGATTATATATCACTTTTTTCTTTGTATTTTTTGATATTCCATAATTGTTTACAGTGACCCTTCATTATTTTTATAATCAGGAAAATGAACATTTTTAAAAGAAGGAAAACCACGAAAGAAGTTTAAATAACCAAATTCAAAATATAATACTACATTAAACTACACTTCTTTTGGATTTTCATTTTTGCCTTTCACACTTGCTGCCATGCCCCAGGGAGATAGTCTGGGAGTCTGGGATTGAGGTCTAGACAGGGAGTCTGTGAAGCTGTCCTGGACCTAAAATAAAGATTATGTCGAAATAAAGAATGGAACAAGGCAGAGCCTGTGAACTCTCAGACTTATATGTGGTGCAGGACACTCAGTACAAGCTCCTTTTCTCTATCTGCTGATTTTTCAAAAAGATAAACCTTGAAGATCGTGGATTTTGTTTTGTTTGGAGAGGAGCTGTTCCCGAAATGACCTAGCTGACACCAATGCTATAGCCAAGCTTACTCAAGGGTGCAGAATTTAAAGAGGAGGTGTGACGAGACGAGAACTAGGTGTGCTAGTTCTAAGAGGTTACCTGAGGCTCATATTTATACAGTCAGCTTACAAGTAAATCCTTGTAACCCAGGCAAACAATAAGATGGTTCCTGCCTTCTGCCATTTCCTTCTGGCCTAAAGCACCCTGTACCATCTTTTCAAAACTGACTCTCCTGTGATCTGATTTCCAACCATATAAAAACATTCAACCCAACAAGGGGAAGGAGAGAAGAGGAATCCAGGAAATAGGACTTGCTGTATATGGAACCATGTCTCCCCCTGGTATGGATGTGCTGGACTTAAGTACAGAGGACTGCTGACACAGAGCAACCGTAACTGGGGGTCAAAACATTGCAGAATAAGGGCCAGAACAATTGTTTCTTTGTCCAAACAAAGTATCTATAACCAAAAGTAGATCTAAAACTATTAGACTGAGAACATTCTGGCACCATCTAAGGAACAAGAACCCTCCATTATTTGCCTTAATCTTCACTTATCCATTCAGCCCGTCAGCCGGTCCGTCAGCAAACCTTAACTGAGCACTCACTGCATGCCTGACACTATTCAGACACTGGGGGTTCAGCCATGAACAAAATTGAACGAAGTTTCTGGCCTCATTCTACTGTTCATTTCCTGAACAAGCAATGTTCTGAAATTCTACTCTGTTCAAGGAGTCATGATGATGTTTAGGATTAAAAAAAAAACAAAAACAAAACAAAACAATCCAGACATCCTAACCTGGGCTCAACCATAGTTACTACCTTTAGCCCTTGGGAATCCCAAGTGGTCCCCTTAAGAATCACCTCATAGGGGTGCCTGGGTGGCTCAGTCGTTAAGCGTCTGCCTTCGGCTCAGGTCATGATCTCAGGGATCAAGTTCCTCATCGGGCTCCCTGCTCAGCTGGGAGCCTGATTCTCCCTCTCCCTCTGCCACTCCCCCTGCTTGCATGTTCTCTCTCTCTCTCTGTCAAATAAATAAATGAAATCTTAAAATCACCCCACATGTCTCAGCAGCATACTACCAAAAAAGTCCGGACTTTGGGGTTGAGCTGACCTAAACTGGTATCCTTTCTCCAGTACTTGCTGACTTTGTTCACTCCTGGCTCCCCGGTGCCTCACATAGTAGGCACTCAAGAGTTGTTTTGTTGCTGTTGTATAACTTTGAGCAAGTTTCTTAATCTCTCTGAACCTAGATTTTTTTTGTAAAATGGAAAAAAATTAATAATATCTAGTTTCCTGAATTAATAATACTTTAATTTCTCCCTCTTTGCTATTTTTTAGTTAAACCTCCTTTTTCTCAAGAGAATCAGTTTTCAGGATAAATTTTAAATGTTCTTAATTTATAATTTTAATATTTGTTAGCATTAGGATGGTGGGATTTCTTACTATTTTTTGTTCAAAAATTCAATATTCTATCTTATAAATTAAGTAGGTTTTTGTAAGTTAGCTCTCCTAAGACTTAGTCTTTTACAAAATTGGCTATGTATCCCCACACAATAAATTTATACAAACTGGGAAGATAATTCCTGAAATTTTTGATGAATCAAAGATGAAAACTATGTATTGATTTTTTTTAACTCCTTTGATGAGAATTTTATGTTATGTCCTGCTACTACCTCAGACAAAGAAAGACTAAACAAAATGTAGCATCTCAAGGATCACACGGTGTGATTGCTCTGGTCAGTTAATGTGACACCCTGACTCAAATCCATTCTGACTCTACAGAGACCCTGGAGCTTGCTTTCATGAACAGAACCAGTGGCCTTTCTTCATCATTTGCCTTTTGTATAGAATGTGCAGCTCCGTGACTCACCTTTTCACAACTAATTGGGGAACCGTATGCAAATAAAGCCCCTCCCAGGTTTGTCTTCTCCTCCTTAACAAAAATCATTGCCCTCACTGTCTGAATTTTTTGCAGCAGGTAACACATTTTTAACATTAGAAATTACTTCAGTCTCTAGGGGACTGCTTGCATTAATTTTGTAGGAAAGTGTCGCCATCTTGTGGAATTTTAGTCTCCAAGTGTGCCTAAAGAATAATCTATAAATCAACCACCTTGTATAGAGATTTTAGTTTGCATACTTTCCAACTCCTCAGAGGCCTCGCTTCTACTCCTGGTCCTCGCTCCAGAATCTTGGCTCTCTTCCTGTTCACTGGCTCCTTCTCTGGTGCCTCAGTCTCTTCTATCAAACTGTGGGTAGCCACAGACAAGAGAAAGCCAGAAAGAGCCAGGACAGGGAGCCAGAACACAAATCAGCAGAATTGTGAGGGACTACATCCAGGTGAATAGTTAATAGAGGTAAATACCATGAGTACAATGGGAAGCCAAAGTCAGGGTCCAAATGAGGTTGAAACAAGGTTCAGGACCAAGCAGCTGGACAAGACCATCCCTGAGACCTTCTAGGAAGAAGTGTATAAGCCCAAAGGTCTATGTGCAGAGAGCTCTGTGGGATGGAACAGAAAACAAAGGTGTGTATGTGGTGTACAGGTTAGGGATTGAGCTTTTTTAAGTTTTTAAGTTCCAGTTAGTTAACATACAGTGTAATATCAGTTTTAAATGTACAATGTAGTGATTGAACACTTCCATACAACACCCAGTGCTCATCACAACAAGTGCACTCCTTAATCCCTCCCCATCACCTGTTTCACCCATCTCCCCCATCACCTCCCTTGGATTGAGTTTTCAGGTTTGAAAAACAAATAGTTTGGAATAGTGTCTGAAAAAGTCCATATTTGGAAAACAACCAGGTGTAGTAAGGAAATCTAGTGTCTGCTTAACATGCGTCTGTATTGGGAAGCCTCAGAACTCTGTCAAGTCTTGCACCTCTCCTCTTTCCATTTCTTCTCTAGTTGTAAGCATTCCAAGTATAATCTCCGTCACCCTCCTGACATAAACTTCTACTCAGCTGTAGCCCTGCTCCTCCCTTCCCCTACTGACAGAAAGTTATGAGAGAGCTTACCCCAAATCTAGTCCTATTTCTCGGAGACCGTGAATTTTGTTTTCTGTTTGTTGTCTTTATTTTCTCTTTTCCCTTTCCAGCCATCTCTGGGATTGTTTGAATGCATTTTAGAAATCCATTTTATTTATCTATTGGCTTTTTAGTTATACCTCTATGTATTGTTTTTTAGTGGTTGCTCTCGATTACATATACATCCTTAACTTTTCCCACTCTACTTAGAGTCAATATCATTCCATGTAATATCCTAGAAACCTATGACTGTAGAAGTCAATTTACACCCGCCCACACTCCACCAACACCCTTTATGCTCTAGTTATTTGTTTTACAACCAAATATATTACAAACTCCATAAGAAAAAAATTATAGTTTTTGTTTTAAACAGTCATGTATTTTAAAAATTTTAAGAGGAAAAGTCTTTTACATTTATCCAGATATTTACCATTTCTGTTGCTCTTCATTCATTCCTGTGGTGTGATGGAAACCAGAGGGATGAGAAGAATGTGGTCATTTGATTGTTTTCTTGTATGATTTTTCTTGATTGTTTTCATGATTTTCACTGTATCTTTACTTTTCAATAATTTGATTATGATATGCCTACATGTCATTTTCTTCATATTTATCTAGTTTGGGGTTCACTAAGCTTTCTTAATCTATAAATTTATGTCTTTTGCTAAATTGGGAGAACTTTGGACATTATTTCTTCAAATACCTTTTCTGCTCTATTTGCTCTCTGTATCCTTCTGAAAGTCAATTTCACATAGGTTAGATCATTCACTATTGTTCCACATGATCTTGGATCTGTTCATTTTTTCAGTCTTTTTTCTCAAGTTTGATCATTTCTTTTGATCTATCTTCAAATTCACTGATTCTTCCCTCTGTCATTTCCAGTCTACTAAACCCATCTGATATCTTTTATAATTTCAAATACTGTATTTTTTAGTTCTAAAATTTCCATTTGATTTGTTTTTATATTTTTATTTCCCTCCTGGGATTTCCTATCTTTTCATGTATTTTCCTTTTCCTCATTGGTCATAGGGATAACGACTGCTTTAAAGTTCTTGTTTGGTAACTCTAATACCCAGAGTGGGTATTTAATATCTTTTCTTATGAGAATGGGTCATGTCTCATGATCCTTTATATTTTGAATAATTTTGGATTATATCCTAGAATTATGAATGCTATGTTCTGGAAATTCTGAACTCTGTTATATACCTCCAGAGAAGGCTGGTGTTTTTGTTTTAGCAGGCAATTTATTTGGTAAGACTAAACCTGCCAACTCTGTCCTACTGGCAATGGGTGGCAGTTCAATTGATACTGTTCTCATATAGCCCATATGTGCATGATTCAGAGACATGGACACTCTT